TGTCTTACCTGTCGCCTCCATTTCTCAGCTTTAGGCAATTCATTGCACTCTGATGCAAGGAAAGGTCTTCGCTCCTGTTCAACAGAAAGGCACACACCATAAAGGTCTGATTTAGCATATATTCACATATATCCTTTATTTTTCTCTCAAGATTATTTTCCTTTCATGTCTCTCAACTACAGTTCACCCAAAGGCTGTTTTTGCACTATTAAGCCTTTTCCCCAACTTGTTTGCACTCCAGCAAACAAAACAGTTTACACAAGTTATTGCTTTATTTTTCTCCCAGACCTCTGTATATAGGTATTTTGTCTCTTATTACAGCTTTTATACACTAAAACCTTCGTTGACCCACCAGGAGCCTTACTCCATCTCAACATTCTGACTGTTGTAAAAAAAAAAAAAAAAAATCTAGTTACAGCTTTCCCCAACTAACTGCTTTCCACTTTACTGCTTCATACTGCTCTCACTTGCATTTACAGTACTACTTCTTAAGATGTAAATGTAAGACACTTCACTGTATTTTGCAAAATTCCTTTGTCATTTACCCAGAATTAAATATTTTACACCTGTCAAAAAGAGAACATATTAATTCCTACAGGAATATTCTTGCAATGTTAAATTAACTACAACAAAGAGTCCCTACTTCATCTGCTTTCTAGATGCCTAATTTCATAGTCTTGCACAATAGCTGTAATCTGGTACAAGGCCTTTCTGGCAGCAGTCACACAGGTCCACGGGCAGTTTGCACTCCACTCCTGACTAGATCTGGCAAAACTTTAGTTTTCTGCATCATACCTTAACCTTCCCTTCTTCAAGCTGAGCTTGACGAAATCTTGCCAAGGCCGTCCTAAGGAAAAGAAAGGAAAAGAGTTCTCTACACCTACATTCCAACAGCAGAGGCTTCTGTTTATTTATTAACTTCAGTCTGTAAAAAGGTCTAGATGTATTCATCAACTAACTCTTCTTACCAGAGATGATTCCAACAATAAAGCATCCTTTGTGGTTAATTTCTTACATTAATATAAGGCCTACTATTAGATCCTTTCATAATTACAGAACTAATTATTATTTCCACTTCACATTTTCAAAGATTATCAGTAAAAGGATGCCACAAGTTACAAGCACAAAGTTCACAGCATGCAATAGACAAAAAGCAAAGAAACAAAACAACATCAAGGAAAGATGGGCTGAAAACAACGATCAACATTTTTAGCATTATTAAAATATTGCAGGAGACTACAACTGAGCAGAGACTATGGCAGCCCCTCATAGGACACGACATAGTGCAGTATTTTCGCCTTCCCCGGTTACTACTCCCCCGGCGCCGGCCCCCGACTCACATGGCCTTCTCCGCGTTCCGGGCCTAGGGAGACAGACAAGACAGACATGTTAGTGCCCAGCGCCCTCGGCAGCGCCTCGCGGCCCCGCCAAGACGCCCCTCGCGGCGGAGCGCAGGGAGGGAGGGAAGC